CGTCGGTTATTTACTTTAACCGACGTCATATGTATTTTAAAAAAAATAAAAAATAATTTTAAATATTTAACGTCGAATTTTTTAAAATCTGACGTTAAAGCTGTTTTCTGTAGTAGTGAATCTATTCAATTTGGAAGAAATATGGGCAAGGAGCACACTATGATTATGTCCATCCTTGTTATTTCAAGGAAACGTATATGTGAAGATATATAGTTGCTCCATTAACCCCATGGCAGGGCCTGATGAATGACCACTAATTACCAGAGATCCCCCACTGCCACCTATCTATTCTGCCAAGGTTGGAAGGCCAAAAACGCTTAGACTGAGATCTGGTGGAGAGGTGCAGCCAAAGTTGAGTGAAGATTGGTTTAAAGTGTCTAGAAAGCATATCCTATTGCATTGCACTATTTGCAAGAAAGTTGGCCATAATTCAAGAAAGTATTATACTCTATGATTTTATAGTTGCTACATTAATTTATACTGTTGTTTTTAAACTCCCACTTACACAATGTTATTGTTTTACTTGAAGCCAAAGAAAAGGGTAATTTATTCCACCAAACAAATCCCCATCAAGATCACTAAAAAGGTTCCTAGGCAGCAACATCAGCAGGGGGAAGCTACTGATCAAGTTCCTAGCCAGCAGGAGGAAGCTACTAATCCAGTTCCTAGGCAGCAGGAGGAGGAAGCTAGTCATTCAGTTCCTATTAAGCAGGAGGACTCCACTGATCAAGGAGGCAACAGCAAGGCCACAAAGACAAGGCAATCGAATCGTAAGAAGTCCTACTATACAAGGAGCAAGACCACATTCAAGTCCAAATTCCATGGAAACAATGATGACCCTATCAACATTGAGTGAATTAAGTTTAGACTATGGTTTTTGGTTTTTTTAAACTGTACTGGAGAATTGCAAATGTATTGGTTTTTGGCTTTTGAAAAGCAAATGCTAAGTTGTATTGGTTTTTGGCTTTTCAAACTGTATTGACACTAGACTTGCAAATGCAAATGCTAAGTTGTATTGGTCAGTTTCTATTCACAGTTTGAATTCACAAGACCAATGAATGAAGATGATGACTTTGCAAATTTTCATTACTTGATCACCTGTTTTGACAGTTTGCAATTCATTACTTGTTTTGACAATTTGCAATTCATTACCAAATGACAGTTTGCAAATGATCAATTCATTACTAGTTCATGACTTCACTCAAATGAGCAATTCATTACCAAATGGATAACTTCATACATTACAATTCAAAGGTCATTTCATACAACTACACAATTCAAAGATCACTGCCACAATACTGACTACCAATATAACCTACAAAAATTAAAAGCATTATTCCTACAATCTTCTTCAACACATTTCCAGCCTCCTTCTTGTCACCTTTAATCTTCTTCATATGCAGTGTTCTTATATCTTCCTCTAGTCTATTAATGCGTTTAAGCAATCTCGGAATTATTCGCTTCGAACGGTAACACATTGGTAGCTCATACCAATCCACAAATCCACACCCAACCTACCTTTGACTCTGATTTAAACAAAATTCAGAAACCAAACAAAAACGAAATCAAATTCTTTTCAAACTGGAATACTGGAAAAAAAAAAAAAACAAAACAAAAAAAACAAAACAAAAAAAAAAACAAAAACAACGAAATTTACTTACACTACCACCGGAGCACTGCCAAAATCTCCGACCTGGATTCTCATTAGTCCATGAAGTTCGAATCTTGATTTGGTGACCACATCTACAATGGAGAATTGGGAACCTTTCCCCAAATTCATAGTACTCATTACCAGTATTGGAAGAAGAAGAATATACACTACTCATACCCACGTAAGAAGAATTGCAGCGCTGAAACCTTCGTCTACGTTGAGCCAATCTTCGTCTTCATCTTCCTTCTAAATGCCTTTGATTCGTTTGGGAAGGAACAACAACCAGCGACACACAATTGATGTAGGGCAAATTGGTTATATGCGGGTCGGGTATGCTGCTACTTTGGTCAACAAATCGTAGAAACAACATGAAAAATACTAATTTGTCCCTGCCAAATCGGTCTATTAGTTGACTTGCATTTTTTCGATCACAAATCACCGTTAATTTGGCCGGCGTGACCAAAATTGATAGAGATCGCATAGTCAAGGTACTAAATTAACATTTTTAATAGTCAAGTGCTGCAATTAACACACCTCTAATAGTCAGTGAACCAAAATTGAAATTTTCTCTATTATATATTTATATACTATATATATCCACACGTTAGACTATATCTATAATAGCATTATTATTATTATTATTATTATTATTATTATTATTATTATTATTATTATTATTATTATTATTATTATTATTATATGGTTAGTTAATAATTATGAGTATGGTTTTACAAAAATGCTCCTAAATTTTTGGGGGAAAATTTTTGTGCCAACCATTTTGCTTTAATATATATATATAGAGATAGAGATATAGAGATAGAGATAGAGATAATTGTATATCAATCTAAATATTCTTAATATATTATAACAAATTCATTCCGTGCATTGCACGGGTAAAAATACTAGTATATTAAAAAAAAATTATCGTGCATGTGTAATGAGTTAATTTCACCAGAGGTCCCATGTATTTGGTGGCAATTCCAAATTTAATCCTAGACTGTTGTTTTTGCCATTTTACGTCTCAGACTATCATTTTTTGGGCACTTTTAGTCCTTTCCATAATTTTTTTCTATTTTTAGTAAGGACGTTTTTGTCTCTTCATATTTTTTTGTTATTTTTTCAATTTTAACCACTTTAATTGGTTTACGAAAATGCGATATTCACTGGCCAGAAGGGCTGCATTAAGCACTTGTTAAATTGAACAGGTGGCTGTCTTCCTGTGGCACTAGAATTGCTGGAATTCTAGGGAAGAGAGAGAATTGCTGGAATTCCTGCGATTGAGTCGTGCAGTGTATGGCACGTGATTGGCGCCTTGTGTAAGCTGTCTGTTCCATTGTCCATTAGCCATTAGGCAACCAAATTTAATTTGGTCCAATGCTAATAAATCAACTTTAAAACTAATCATTACTAATTAAATTAATAGTATACAAATTTCTAAACATTAACATTGCGTCATTGGTCAACTACCATGTAATATAATGACATTTTAATTATAATTTCAAATGAGTAATCAAAAATTTAAATTTCAAAGATAAAAGTTTAAATGTTTTAAATTAAAAATAATTAAGAAGTATAAAACAGATACTATCTTGTAAAGAATCATTAATATTATTTAAAAAAAAGAAAACATTGCATCATGGCAGCAGACATATATGGTATTATAGCTTTATAGTAGAAAATCAAACAATGATCTCTGTTTAAACGTGTCCCGTGAAGAGCGGCGACGCATCATATGAAATGCACAAACTTTTTTCTTGTGCCCACTTCAATGTTCAGCATGGGATCGATCGACCAATTAAAAATGTGAATTCACCGCGTCACCTTCCGCCCATCACCAACATTGACCACACAACATTTTTTTTTACTTAGTAATTAAGAATTGTTTAATGTTTAGGTGGCTACCTCAGTATCTTGATATATAATTTCAGATCCACTAAAATAGTTGTGCGTGTTAACATTAATGCATTTGACTTAAGTTCTATTATATGATTTCGAAAAGAAAATTACATTTAGAAAAAATAAAAATAAAAATCTAACATAACTATTTAACCTGCAATTGATTAAATTTTTAATTTATTTTCATAAGCTCCCTATAACCACTTTGACTTAATATAAAATCTACTTAATAATTTAATATAGAAAATTAAGTAAAATAATGACCCGTCAAAAACATTAAATATTATATGAATAATAACTAGTTTTTTTACGCGCATTGCGCAAATGAGATAATGCCAATGATTTATTTTTAAATAAGTAATTCAAAGTATATATATCAATGCAAGACTATATAAGAGACGTTCATGCATAGGAAATTGAATGTTGAATTTGTTTATTTAAATTAGTAATTAAAAGTATATAAATACAAGGTAATATATGAGAGATTGATTATAATTGATGTCACTAAAATAAATTTTTGTAACTTTGTAATAACGCTAGTTTAAAAACCATAGTCTAAATATACACTACTAGAAATTATAGAATTTCCGACCACTTGAAAGTGATCTTAAATCAAGTCGAAAGCAAAAAGTGATCAGAAATAGCAATAAAAGTTTTTCGGATACCATGGAGTGATACACTGATACATGCATACATACATACATACAAACCTTTCCTAGGTGAAATATGATTCTCATTAACTCAAACTTTCATTAATCAAATATTACACTAAAAATAAAAATATTTTTTCTCTTTTTAAATTTCTAAAAAAGTTCAAACTTTCCTAACTATTAAACATCATATCCTCTTATAGTCTTGGAGTCTTCCCTAAAAAAAACTTTAGGATGTGTTTGGTCAATGGGTTTACACACTAAAAGAATGGAGATCAAAATTATAATTAGTGTTTGATTGATAATTTTTTAAAATATACCTATGCGATTTGATTACCCTTTAAATTAAAAAACTTCATTCCCTAATTAAAAAATGTGTCATTTCATCTTATTGGTAATATAATTTTTAAGTTTATATTACTGTTTTTAAATTTTTGTTTTGATTTTCTTGTTCATATGACTATATGAGTGTTTTGGATGTCATCATATTATGATCAATATAATTGCCTTGAGTTTTTATTTTTATAATTTTAAAACTTTTATTACCATTCTAGAATCATATATAACCAAACACAAATATTAATAATTATTTCAAGTTCACTATGTTATCAAACATGCAAAATACATTCATCAAAACTCATATTAATACTAAATATTTGATTTACATTCTGATTCCAATTCCTATATTCGAACCAAACACACCTTTAAAATAGTACCGCGTGAATTGTGAAATATAAGATCCGTGAGGACGTGAGGTTGAGGAGTATAAAATTCGTAGAATTCGGAGGCGTTGAATTCCAACACGGATCGAGTTAGGCTGGCCAAAGCAAAGTCTCCTGCGCCGCTCTCACTCTCTCTCTACAATCGTTAGCCAACACCAAAAGCTCCTCCTGGTTTCTCCCACAAACCAAGAGAAAAAGAAAAGCGAATTTTTCATATTTTGCACGTAAATATTGCAATACATGCATGTAAGAATTACCTGATACACATATCTCGTCTCTCTCTCTCTCTCTCTCTATATATATATATACATATATACATGTATGTATGCATATTTGATGGAAGGTGAAAATTCATTAATAACCGCGATCAAGGCGAGCTTGACTAGGCCTTCATGGGTGATCGTGTTCCTTCTCTTCACTGTGATTGCTCTCTTCGGCCTCCAGATCTCCAAGGACAAAATTATTATCCCGCCCTTGGGTTTCATTTCGGGCCTGCAGGAGAGCCGGGCCGGGCTCGAGGGGTCCCACCACAAAACCACCTGCTCCGACTTCTTCACCCCGCTAAATCCGCCGCTCAGGAAGGTGGTGCGCTCGATTGCCGACTTCGGCGGAGTAGGCGATGGGAAAACGTCCAATACGGCGGCGTTTCGGCGGGCGGTGGAATCTATGGAGGCCTTCCGAGAGAGCGGTGGGGCCCAGCTCAACGTTCCTCCTGGGCGGTGGCTAACGGGAAGTTTCAATCTCACCAGTAATTTCACCCTCTTCCTTCAACACGGAGCTGTCATTTTGGGTTCTCAGGTAATTCTATCTTTTTCCTTTTTCTTTAATTTTTTTTCTTTTTTAAATATCAAATTCAATTTTATTGTTTGGGGTTTAAAAAAATTGTCATTTTTTGCTTGGATGACCCAGAATTACATGTAATATTATTGTAACACTATTTTAGTTAACAATGTCTGCATCAGAATTACTCATCAACAAATTGTTCCATGAATTTTAGCATTTTAAAGTAATAAGTTATTACAAAAAGTTAATTAATTAAACATTCATATTGATTATTTAATCAAATCAGACAGTTAATAGTGATCAAATAAGTTAAAATCGACTGATAAACTAACTATGTTACCAATCAGGCCTATATATTCTTGATTTAATCAACATTTTTTGTTACATAGCTTGCAATTAAGATGTTAAAGTGGGCAATCGTTACATTAAAGTATACTTAGAATGGAAAGGTGCATTTGTGTTTGAATTGACATCAAAAGTATTTTATTTTTTTTTTTAAAAAAAGAGATCATGTAGGGTCGGACATTAATTACAGTAATTACATAGAGATTTGCAATAATTAATATATCTTTAGAAATCTGTCCGTTTTGCAGGGATAAAGAAAGAAAGAGAGACGTTGGCATTATGTGTTGTCCACTCACATGAGAATGTAGGGAAAGTAACCAAGAATATACCCACCCACCCACCCTCACTTAGCTTCACTATATTCTATGCATGTGTGAAAGTTGGGTTGGATCTTTCTGGAATTTAGGCCTAAAGTTGCATAAAATGACAATGGTTGAAGTATAATATAGAATTAAGTACAGCCTGTTGGTATAAGTTATCAATTTCTGTATTCTATATAATTAATAATTTATATATTATATGGTTTTTATATATAGAATATTTAATCTGGGATTATGACTGATTCAATGGCAGCATTTACAGCATTCAAATGAATCTGATCCCCAGGCTATCTTGCTCAATTATATTTATTTCAATCATGAGTAGAGGAAAAGAAAATGACAATTATATTTATTTTAAGGTCTAGCCTCTGTGGTTCATGTTCAGTTGAGTTACCATGATTTACATCTTCCCAAATGCTCTGTCGGGCCGGAGTGTAGGGGCCCTTAGGGTTGGGGTTCAACCTTTTGGAAAGAACTTTATTGAATTATTATTATTATAGGAGGCAGATGAGTGGCCCATCATCAAGCCACTGCCATCCTATGGAAGAGGAAGAGAAAGGTTGGGAGGGAGACATATTAGCCTCATACATGGAGATGGTCTGTCCAATGTTGTAATTACAGGTATTTTCCATCTATGTATATATATATGTGTGTGTGTATGCTTATCAACTAGCTATCCATCATTCTTTATAGATCAGATGTTGAGTCACTAGTAACAACCATCTCATATATTGCAATTTAGTTGAGGGAATAAAAGTTGAGGAAAGATGCAAAGGACAAACATTTACAATTTGATCAATCTATGGTGATTCCAATAATGTTTGTTTCCCACTAAACATTTCTTCGTAAATGTTATACTATAAGTGTTACTTGTACCAAATCTGATATCATTTAGAATGATGTGAAAAAAATATTATTTTCGGCCGCATTGATACCCAACAACTAGTACTTTTACACCAATTGTTTCCAAAATAAAAAATAATAATAAAAAATAGTACTTGTACACCAATTTAGGCTCCCAACATGATATACCTACTGGATCAGTCTCTGCTCAGGCACAGGCAACCACAATAGAAACTTACTCATGGGTGATGATAGGCTCCAGACAATATATTGGCTCAAGTAGTAGTTTCTAACTTGCTATGATGAATCTGCAAATGCTAAAGAATGTACATTCTGTGGTCTAATATCAAGTTTCTCACTCTTAAGATAAGGAATGGTGGAGAATTTAATGATGTTTATACTCGGGGCATCTGATAAATCAATTCCAGTTTATTTTCAGGAGAAAATGGAACAATTGATGGTCAGGGGAAGATGTGGTGGGACCTTTGGTGGAATAGGACTCTGAAATACACCAGAGGCCACCTTGTTGAACTGGTTAACTCTCACAACATTCTCATCTCCAATCTCACTTTCCTCAACTCTCCTTTTTGGACTGTTCATCCTATTTATTGCAGGTGCCTTTTTTTTTACTTTTAATCCTTTTTTTTTTTTTTTTTGGAAAATGAAAAGGGAAACTCTACCTTAACTACCTTTGGTTCTTTCAGTAATGTTGTGATCAGAGACATGACAATCTTGGCACCTCTCAATGCCCCAAACACTGATGGCATAGACCCAGGTATTTCACATTGCTCGATCCCTTTATGACAATATGAAGAAAAGAGATGGAATTCTTGATTTGTATTATTCTGTTATGTTTGGGCAGATTCAAGCACGAATGTTTGTATCGAAGATTGTTATATTGAGAGTGGCGATGATCTTGTGGCAGTGAAGAGTGGTTGGGATCAATATGGGATGAAAACTGCCCGACCAAGCTCAAACATCATAGTCCAGAGAGTTTCAGGCACGACGCCAACATGTTCAGGGGTTGGAATTGGGAGCGAGATGTCGGGAGGAGTCTCAAACGTTGTTATTAAGGATGTACATGTCAGAGATTCAGCAGCCGGGGTAAGGATTAAGACAGACATAGGGAGAGGAGGATATGTCGTAAATGTTACCATACACAACATGACAATGGAGAGAGTGAAGGTTCCCCTAAGGTTCAGCAGAGGCGCGAATGACCACCCCGATGAAGGGTGGGACCCTAAGGCTCTACCGGTAGTGAAGGGTATATCAATCAGCAACATCGTGAGTTTGGAAACGCGAAGAGCTCCTGTGTTGGAGGGCATCAAGGAAGCGCCATTCGAGGGCATATGCATGAAAAATGTCAGCATACTCGGCCTAGCCTCATCGGTTAGATGGAACTGTGAATTTATTTCGGGTTCGAGTCATGGTGTTTTCCCGGCACCATGTTCTCAGCTGAAGAGAAATAACTCTACTATGGATTCATCATGTTTCCATTCGTGAGATTTATAGGGGTACTAACCAATTCTAATATGCATTTGGAATGATCAATAGATTGTGATTACAGATTTTCCATGAAAGAATAGGTACATGTTCCATTATGAAAGGAAGAGTATATAAATACATACATTCTTAGCTTACACACTTCACCATTTCCAGAAAACATTGGAACCACACTTGTATTTGTCCTTCCCTTCGCATTCCAACTCCAAGTCATCACTGATGAATGGCACTTTCTGCAATTCATAAAACGAAAATAATATATTCATTGATTTCTTTCCTATCCATTAGATCGATCTTGCAGATTAACGGTTTGAATTTGTCTAGGGGGCTGAAACTACTTATTATATATTTGTGTTTCTTAATTCAAAGGGTACCTTTTGTTTGGCAAGGTCTTGGCAGCCAGTGAAGTTTTCAGGGAACTTGCAAGTGCCAAACTGAACAGTGTATGCTCTTGCAAAGTTTGCACCACTTGTGGCCAGTCTCTTCTTGTCATTCAATTCCTATGACCAACACAACTTAATCAGATTATAGCAAGCATACATAGTTGAATGCCATTATATTAATTTTTGTGCAAACGAATTGAAGCTAATTAAGGGAGCTATGCATACATACCTTGTTGGCTTTGCTTTTCTCAAGATAGTCCTCAATGACACCAGCATTTGCAGAAGAAGAAGTGGCAAAAAGGGCAGCTGCAAGGCCAAGAAGGGCAGCTCTTCTGCCATTAATCCCATTTGCAGTCTCCACTACAGATCTCACTTCTTGTTTCTGACACTTGATTGCGGCAGGGAGCTTGGAAGAAGAAGTAGTTGAGATTGGGGTTGCCGCCATTGAAGCATGCTTTGCGATCAGCTCAGATGAAGCAGCACCTGATAGGGCATAGCTGCTGCATGCCAACACACTAGAGTTCGTGGCAGCCATTGTTGCTAGCTAGCTGCTATTTGGAGAATGAATTAATTCTTACCTGGTATTTTGGAGAAAGCAAAAATAAACTAGATCGATGAGAAAAATATGGTATTTGGATTATTATTTCGGATGATGTGGAATTAAGATTGTGGTTGGTGTGTGGATAAGGTGAGATTGCCTCATTCTCATTGGTACATTTGCTTTCTTGGGCTAGGTCTAGGTTTTACTTTAGTAACACTTTGTGTGGTCACCACAAGTCTCAGACCCCACCTTGAGATCTAAGTATGTGATTCGCATCATTCTTCCATTTCAAAGAAAATTGAGGTCGGTCTAAATGATAATAATAAAGAATAATCATCAAATATGTCAATCAACTGCACACTAAATTACAATTAGGTCATCGAATAAGAGACCATCGTCTCCATGGCCAGGGAGATGAAGAGATTATTTTTAAAATCGGTAACCCTCATGTCAGCATAATTTACTAACTCTATTACATTGTAGTATCAATGAAACACAAAGACGCCTCCACTGAGGCTTGATCTCATGACCTCCCCACACGGAAGAGGTCACTACAAGTCATCTGAGCACAAGGTGCTTGACTATTATTATTATTACTAGTATTTTCACCAGTGCAATGCACGGAATGCATTTGTTGTAATATATTAAGAATATTTAAATTGATATATAATTATTTAAATTAGAACATCAAATATTATATAGTATTAAAGATATGGTTTAAATCATTTATGTATTTTTATGTTACCATTGCTTGAATTTATGCAAATAATTGCTCAAATTAATAGCTAATGTTTAGATGTACGCATGCGGTGCTATAACTTTGAAGATTTTATTTATCATTGTTTAGTATTTTTATGAATTAAGCAAATGTGCTCGTTCTCTAACAACTCAGTTATAAGAATGAATTGTTATCCTAATTCATTTGTATGGAGATATATTTTTTGTCTAGATATATAACTATTTTTCCATTTTAAAAAAATATATATAATATCATAGATTATATCACTGTTGGAAATTATGGAATTTCCGACCACCTGAAAGTGATATTAAATCAAGTCGAAAGTAAAAAGTGGTAGGAAATAACAACAAAGGTTTTTCCAAATACCAAAAGTGGTATGAACAAGGCTTTCGACTTGATTTAAGATCACTTTCAGGTGATCGGAAATTCCATAATTTCTAGCAGTGTATTTACACATTATTGAAACCTCTTTGTAGACGACATTGGTAGTGGCAACACAATCTTGTCCATCCTCGTCTAGAGCTAACACCTTCAGTCCATCAGGACGGATAACTCGGGTGAAAATATATAATGGTAGAATATCACTCAATTAGTGATCCTTTTATATTTTCAGTCGATTAGTAATATCATATTCATTTTCAGCCAATTATTCTTTTTTATCTTCAGTCAACTAGTCAATTAGAATATCAAATGCAGTGGTATTTTTGCCTAATCTTCGTTCCATTTTTAACTGATGATGTTGATATTATTATTGAAATATTTCTATTCCATTTTTAATTTACCTGGTAGTTTTATACCCACCGTACGTACAGCTTACCGGTCGGTACCAACAGGACACGCCGAACCCACCAGATTCCGACCGCCCTCAACCGGGTTTGGCATGAAACTTACCCGACCGCCACGGTCGGGGTGAGGTTGTGAAGAACGTTAGCAGGGAATCTGCGCCACGTGCCGTCGTTCCTTGGGCATGGTGTTCGCGGGTGCATGGCGGCCACACGGCCAACAAGCCGAGACCCCGGACCTTGTCACCTTGCCCTCTATAAATAACCGCATTTATGACAGTGAGAGGAACTTTTGGATTCGAAGCTTGATCGGAGCTGTTCGACCCACTGTTGACTGACCTCGAGCTCAAGCCCAGAACATCCGTACGGTACCATAGAGGCATCCGTATATACTTTATCATTTTGACGCCGTCTGTGGGAACCGGTACGAAAAGCCGCTTAGTATAACAACTACCGATCCCGAACGCTATGTATCCATTTGTGAACGTTCGCCCAGAAGCAGAAGCTGAGGCCAGTTCGTCCGACTTCCGCTCTCACCTCAGTTCACGATTGGATCTCAATAGCTCCCCGGGGAGAGCCCCGACCCCAGACCTGGTCAACCTCGTCTTACAGGGTCCGGCTTACCCGGCAATGGCAGGTCAGATGCCGTTCCAGTACCTAGCGTACCCGCTCGGAATGCTTGATCCCGCCTACCAATTTTGGCATAGCCCTGCCAGATTTTATCCCCCGTCGTACCAGTACCCAGCTAATCCGCCGGTACCGCCTGTTTATCAGCCGTACCCGCAGATGCCGGTACCCAACATACCCGAGCCCCTGCAATCAGTAGGGGACTCCGGTGTCCCCATGCCGGAGATCCGCCGAGCCCAGTCTGAGCGTCGCCCTGCACGGTCTAGGCTCGGACCGGGGAATCATCCGGAAGAAGGAAGCGAAGAAGTCAATGTAAGAACTAGCGCTTTCACTCGTCTTCGTCGGCCGGTGCAGCAACGCTTAGGATCCCAAGATGACGTTAGCGAGACAAACGCGCCGGCCTCCAGCCATCGAGAAGGATCGGGCGAAGTCAGCTTGTCCCGACCTGGCCGTCGAAGGATGGGTGAACGAAAAGATCAAGATCGCATCGAAACGGACGCCCGAGGACTGCTTAACCAAGTGAGACGAGAGTTCGCTCGCTGAAAGCGGGAACATGGTGCCAGCCCAAAGGAGGCAGTGGCACCCCTGCTGCGAACCCCTTTCACGTCGGAGGTCAGGAATCAGCCCTACCCTCATGACCTACGCGTCCCAGGCAGTAAGGACTATGATGGCAAAACCGACCCCGAGACCCACGTCAACTCATATTACGGTAACATGCTCATGATGGGCGTCAACGATGCTGTGATGTGCCGAGCTTTCTATTCTACGTTGACGGGGAGGGCGGCCGAGTGGTTTAAGTCGCTAGAACCGGAGTCCATACCTTGCTTCACGGACTTAGCAACGAAGTTTGTACGAAAATTTGTGACATCCAAAGCCGTTCGGAAACACTTCATGTACCTTGAGAAAGCCAAACTGCTGGAAGGAGAATCCTTGTCTGATTTCCTCGTCAAATGGAAAAACGCCGTCAGCGATGTCGAGCCTATGGACGACCTGACGGCGATCAATATGCTGCATTGCTCGCTCTGAGCGGGACCGCTGTATGATAACCTCATATTACACCCTCCGGTGACGTACGATGAAGCCCTGCGACGGGTCGCCAATCACGCTAGCGCGGGAGAGGCCACAGCGGCGAATAGGCTCCAGGAGATGGGCGCAGGTCGGGGACGAGGATGCCCAGACGGCCGACAACCGGAACAGCCCGGGCGCGGGCGGGGCCGAGCAGATTTTACCCCTCTAACCCGGCCGGTGGGCGACGTCCTTCGATATGCCCAACCGTGCAACCTGATCCAGCTACCCGACCCATTCAAGGACAGTAAGGACAAAAGCAAGCATTGTGCGTACCACCGGTGTAAGGGTCATGAAACGGAGGAGTGCACGTACCTGAAGCAGTTGATTGAGGACCTCCTTCAGGCGAGAAAGTTGGACCAGTTCCTCGCCAAAAAGGAAGGCAAGAAATCTTCCTGGAAGAAGGTGTTCAAAGGAAAGAAGGACAAGAAGGACCCGGACCCGGAGGACGAAGCTCGCCCCTTGACCGGCAAGCAAGTGATCCATGTCATCTTCGAAGGATTGGAGGACAATGGCGAGCCGACCGGGCATCTGCCGGTCGGTCTCGTGGAAGAAGGAGAAGCAAGCCAGAAAAGGCAAAAGACATAGCCTATTGTGTTTACCCCAGCCGATATGCCCGCCGGAGCAGACCACGGGGCGGAGGCCCTCGTGGTGACAATTGACGTGATGGGGGTAGACGTGCAACGAGTAATGATCAACACGGGAAGCAGCGTTAATGTGCTCTATTGGGAGGTGTTTCAAAAGCTCAAGTTAGACCCGATCGAGTTGATGCCCATCAGCACCCCGTTGTCCAGATTCACGGGCGATACTATACAACCTGAAGGAAAGATAACCCTACCTGTCGAATTGGGAACACCCCCCCCCCCCCCCCGAGTTGTGCGAACAAGACTAGAATTCGTCGTCGTGAACCTGCGGTGAGTGCACAATGCGATTCTAGGTAGACCGGCGATCATAACGACTAGAGGAATTATCTCTATGCCCCATTTATGCATGAATTCCCGACCCCTTCAGGGGTAGGGACCGTGAGGGGGGACGTCCAGTCGACGCGGAAATGTTACTTGAAAGCAGTAAACTGAAAGGAATCGGGTAGCGCAAGAGTCAATTATTAATATTCGTTTTCTTTTATATTTTCAGTCAATTAGCAATATTACATTCAATTTCATTCAATTATTCTTTTTTTTTTCAGTCAATTAGTCAATTAGAATATCAAATGTAGTGATATTTTTATCTAATTTCCGTTCCATTTTTATTTGATGATGTATAATATTATTATTGAAATCTTTTTTTTTTTCATTTTTAATTTTTGTTCCATTTTCTATTTACCTTTACTATTTTTTAAAATATATCTTTACTATTGATGATGTAGAATATTACTATTGAAATATTTTCTTTCCATTTTTAATTTTCCTTTACTTGATGATGTAGAATATTATTATTGAAATATTTCTGTTCCATTTTTTAAAATTGTGAAAGATTTATGATATAATTGTGATTTGATTTATTATACTATGTAATATTATTGTGAAAAACTAAAATGCAATAATTTGACCGTTTTCTTTTCCATTTTAGTCAATACGGATCTTTTTTTCTTTTCAGTCAATTATTAATATTCATTTCCTTTTCCAATTTACATAATTCTCGTTCCATTTTAATTGATGATTTAGAATATTATTGTGACATATTTATATTCCTTTTTTTAGTTTACGTTCATTTTTTAATTTATATTTACTATTTACTATTGTTTGGGCGGGAAATCAAGTAGATATGATTTTATTTTTAATTATAGTATAGATATAAAGATAGATATAGATTATTATTTATTATTATTATTATTACTATTATTTTTATTATTATTATTATTATTATTATTATTATTATTATTATTATTATTATTATTATTATTATTATTATTAATAAGTTAATTCGGTTTCCTTTTTCATTTTTCCTTTTTCCTTTTGTATTGTTTGGGAAGAAGTGTTTGGGCAAGAATGAAAGAATGATTTTGTTTTTAATAATAAGTATAGATAGATTATTATCTTAGTTATCATAATAACTATTAGTCAATTATACTAATGGTGCGTTTGGAAACTCGGAAAATGATTCCATAAATCATTTCCTGGGTGTTAAGTGTTTAGCTTGAATTGAGTAAACATATTCTTTATCAAATTTGCTCCTAATTGCTAAAAACTAAAACAACACATACACATTTTAAAAAAATATTAAGATTAATCTTTTTTATTTGATAAAGATTATTTTCATTAATTAGTCTATATTCATTATATATATATATATATATATATATATATATGTATGTATGTATGTATGTATGTATGTATGTATGTACGTATGTATGTATGTATATGACTGCATACATACATACATACATATATATATATATATATATATATATATATATATATATATATATATAAAGCATAATACCATATAAGGAATACACGTTAATACAAAAAATTACACAGTAATACCTAATTCATTAATTAGTCTATATTCATAATATTCCGTGTAATGTTAATTAATTAGTCAAAAAAGGTATACGCTAATACCTAATTCATTCATTCCGTGTACGATTACCATAATAATATTTCCATAATTAATTACTCTATATGTTGCCAAATTTAAAATATTTTTTATTTAATTGACTCATTTATGAATTGGTTCAAACATTTTCGTGTAATATTATTATAATAATGTTTTCATAATTAATTAGTCTATATTTTTCCATATTTAAAATAATTTTTATTCAATTGATTCATTCATGATTTGGTTCAACCAATTTCGTGTAATATTACCATAATAATATTTTTTTTATAATTAATTAGTCTATATTCTGCCTTATTTAAAACATTTGTTTTATTCAATTGACTCATTTATGATTTGGTTCAACCAATTTCGTGTAATATTAACATAATAATATTTCTATAATTAATTAGTCTATATTCTGTCATAATTAATTAATCTATATTTTGGCATATTTAAAATATTTTTTATTCAATTGACTCATTTATGATTTGGTTCAACCAATTCCGTGTAATATTACCATAATAATATTTTCATAATTAATTAGTCTATATTCTATCATATTTTAAATATTTTTTTATTCAATTGACTCATTTATGAAATGGTTCAAATAATTTCATGTAATATTATTATAATAATATTTTCATAATTAATTAGTCTATATTCTTCCATATTCTTCTACAATTTCAATTACCATAATTATTTATTCCATAGTCTAAATTTTTTTATTCAATTTACTCATTTAAAACTATCCGGAACTACATACTTAAAATTAGATTTCTAACTTATTTAATTTTCGGAATTTAAGAGTAAAAATGTAATCGTAAATATTGATTTTTTTTTTTACCATCTTAAATTGGTGAGTGTAATATTACTGTAGTATTACCATCTTAAATTGGTTCAAAATATTACGTGATTAATTACTCCAGAATTTCTATTAACATTATTAAGTATTCTATACTCTATCATAATTAAATAATTTGACCAATACAATGAGTTTGAGCGGGAAAATAGTAGAAGGAGGATTTTACTTTTATATTATTATTATTATTATTGTTATTATTATTATTATTATTGTAACACCCCAGATTTTTGAAACTTTTTAAAGCTTATATAATAAAGGTAATACTATTATTAATATCGAAATAGAACATACTAAACATCAGAGTTTGGGGTGCTATGCCACATCTGAGCTGGAGAACTGGTACATGAGAGCAAAATACTTCGCACTGTAAGCCGTTAATGAACGCTTCGTACTCGGCTTCGTTGTTGGTCGGGTGGAACTGGTACATGAGAGCAAAATAGACCTTGAATCCTTCCGGGCTTGTGACCACCACTCCTCCTCCTGCCCCTTTCTTGCTACTTGACCCATCTGTAGCCAGCGACCACCACTCAGCCTCGGGATCTGCAACCTCAGGAGACCGGGTATCCCGGGCGGTGCACTCGACCAAGAAGTCAGCAAGAGCTTGACCTTTAATAGCCGGTCTCAGTCGGTATTCGATCGCGTACTGGGTCAACATTAACGCCCACTTGACGAGGCGACCGGATGATGAAGCAGTTCGGAGGACTGGCCCGATCGGCTGATCGGTCAACACGCGAATTGCTCGACCTTGGAAGTAGGGAGCCAACTTCTTCGCGGCAACGTATAAGGCATAGACGACCTTCTCTAGCCGGGAGTACCGGAGCTCGGGACCATGTAGCGCATGGCTTACATAGTATACCGGTCGCTGGACCCCTTCCGGATCGGTTCGGCACAACACTGCGCTTACTGCACGATCGGAGACGGCGAGGTACACGTCTAGCTCTTCTCTGAGCTCGGGCTTTGAGAGCACGATCGGTGACATGAGATATTCCTTCAGCTCATCAAAAGCCGCTCGACACTCTTCGTCCCAGACGAATCCATTAACCTTCCGCAATACCTTGAAGAAAGGTAAAGCGCGCTCGGCTAGCTTGGAGAGGAACCGGCTGAGGGCTGCCAACCGACCGGTCAATTGCTGGACTTCCCGAACGGTGGAAGGTGGCTGCATGTCCAGAATCGCTTTTACTTTGGCCGGGTTAGGCTCGATTCCTCTCTTGGTCATCATATAGCCGAGGAACTTGCCGGTCTGAACCGCGAATGTGCACTTGGTCGGGTTCAGCCGCAACTGGTACTTCCTCATGATCTGGAAGCACTCCCGGAGGTCCCGAGTGTGGTTGGACCGGTCCCGACTCTTGACCAGCATGTCGTCGATGTAAGCTTCCATCGTTCGGCCCAGTAGGTCGGCAAAGAGCATGTTGACCATCCTCTGGTAGGTCGCTCCTGCGTTCCGGAGGCCGAACGGCATCACTCGGTAACAATACAGCCCATCCGGGGTCACGAAGGCTGTCTTGCTCTCGTCTTCATGGTGCATCATGATCTGATGGTACCCCTTGAAGGCATCCATGAAGCTCATTAACTCGGCCCCGGCCGTCTCGTCGACCATCTGGTGAATGCTCGGTAGAGGATACGGGTCGAGCGGACAGGCCTTGTTGAGGTCCGTGAAATCGATGCACATCCTCCATGCTGGGGGCTTAGGAACAAGAACGATATTTGCCACCCACTCGGGATAAACCACCGGACGGATGTGCTCGATCGCCGCCATCTTTTTGACTTCCTCCCTGACAAATTCGCGGCGATCGGAGGAAAGGTGTCGTGTTTTCTGCACGACCGGCTTGGCTGCGGGATCGACGGCTAACTTGTGACAGATGACCGACCGATCGATTCCGGGCATGTCTTCGGGCCCCCACGCAAAGATATCAGCATACTCCCGGAGTATGGCCAAAACTTCCGCTCGAAGCTCGGGGGTGAGGGCTCGGCCAATCTTGATCCTCCTATCCGGGCGATCCTCAGATAGGGGAACTTCTTCTATTTCCTCGGAAGGCTCAGGCTGCTCCTTCCGTTCCTTAGCCTCCTCTTTGGCTATGGTGTTCACCCGGGAAGATGGACCGGAGTCACGTCTATTGACCGCTCGGCTGTAACACTTCCGGGCGGATTGGACATTGCCACGGACCACGCCGACCCCGTTATGGGTGGGGAATTTCATACACAGGTGGGGCATAGAAATTATCCCACCGATCTTCATAATGGCGGGTCGGCCCAAGATAATGCTGTGGACGCAATGGAGGTTGACCACAACAAATTCCAACTCCGTCTTGATCGACTTTGGAGGCGCGCCGATCTCGACCGGGAGCGTTATCTTCCCCTCGGGGTAAATAAGAGCCCCGGTGAATCCTGACAGTGGTACACCGACCGGAGTCAGCTCCTTCCTGTCGAGGCCAAGCTTCTCGAAGACGTCCAAGTAAAGGACGTTCACGCTGTTGCCCGTATCCACCATAACCCTTTGGACGTCCGTCCCCTTAACGTCAATCGTGACCACGAGCGCCTCCATGCCGTGGTCGCTGCTGGTAGGTTGGTCCTCGAGGGTGAAGGTTATGGGCTCCATCTTCCGCCTCTTCCCGGTCTCCCGGGAATCCACTATTGCGACCGGGCAATTAGTCCGCGGTCGGGAAGCATCTTCCAGCCCACCAAAAATGACGTGGATGGTAGGCTTTCCGGACGGGCGGCTACCGGACGGAGGGTCAGGGTCCCGTCGGTCATCATGACGATCGTCCCTTCGATCGTTTCTTCGGTCCTGACCTGACCGATCGGAGCGGTGATGAGAACGCCTATGATCTCTCCGATCGGTATTCTTCTTGTTGTCCTCTCTCTTCCCCACACACTTGTCCAATTTTCCCAGGTTGAGCAGATCTTCCAACAATTGGCACAAGTGGGTACACTCCTCGGTATCATGCCCAGCGCATCGATGGTAAGCACAGTGCTTACTCTTGTCAGGGCCGTCTCGATCGGGATGGGGGAGTTTGATGAGATTGCAGGACTGGGCGTATTGCATGGCCTCCGCTGCGGATCGGTTCAAGGCCGTAAACTCGCCAGGCCTGGTGTGGGATCGGGAATTGTCATCTCCCGACCGATGCTCCGCCCGGTCGGCCGGTTTACGGGACGAAGAGCCGACCTCCTGCAAGCGCTTTACGGCGTTCGCCTCGCCGGCGTTGGCGTAGTCTGTGACCCTCCGAAGGGCCTCCTCGTAACTGGTCGGGGGGTGTAGGATGAAGTCCTGATACAAATGCCCCGCCCGGAGAGATATGTGAAGCATGTGGGTGGCGGTCGCATCGTCCATAGGCTCGACCTCCCCGACCGCTGCTTTCCATTTGATGAGGAAATCGGTCAAGCTTTCCCCTTCTAGCTGCTTGGCCTTCTCGAGATACATGTAGGACTTCCTCACCACTTTGGAAGTAATGAACTTCCTCACAAATTTGATCGCCAGGGTCTCAAATTTATCGATCGACCCCGGTTGCAAGGTACGGAACCACTCTGCCGCCCGACCGGTGAGGGTCGAGTAGAAGGCCCTGCACATCACGGCGTCCGAAACGCCCTTCAGCATCATGTTGCTGAAAAAATCATTCACGTGGGCCTCAGGATCCGCCCGTCCGTCATAACTCTTCTCTCCAGAGACCTTTAAGTCAAGTGGGTAAGGCTGGGCCATTACCGCTGCTGTGAAAGGCGTCTGGTGCAAGGTCGATTGGTTGACCGGGGGTGTTGCAGGGTACGCATTCCTGAGCTGCGCAACTTCCGCCTGGAGGTTATAGAGCAATCCTCGGGTTTCGTTGAGCTCGGCGGCTTGAGCGGCTTGGGCTGTATCCCGAGCACGTCGCCGTCGGTGAGATCTCGACCCGCTATACCCAGATGAAGCCTCCTGACTAGCCTCCTGCATCTGTACGTCTTCTTGCCCGCGGTTCGGGTCTTGGGGTCCCAAACGCTGGCGCATCTCCGGTCGAAGACGATCAAAAGCTACCGCTCGGGCAACTTCTTCAGGGTCCTCCGCTTGGACGGCCTGAGCTGGTGCCTCCATCGCATCAGCACCCCCCGACCCCAACCGCGAATGAGCCGAGCGTCGAGCCCGGGATGCGGACTGATGCTGCGGCTCTACCTGTGCGGTCGGTTGTACTGGAGGGGCGGCGGCTGGAGCTGTATAAGCTGGCGTATATGGTGGATAACCAACCGGGGGAGTGTAGCACATCGGTTGGCCTGGCCAATACCCATACGGTGGAGGTGGGACCGGGTATGGATACTGGGCAGGATACATCATCGGCTGCTGCTGGTATGGCAGACCGGGTGTTGGGTACCCCGGTTGTATGTAATTCACCGGCTGCTGGGCGGCCGGGTATGCATTCGATGGATGCGGTGGTGAGAGGTTGAGGTTGAGGTCCATCGTCTGACCTTGCTGTTGGGTAGCATAGTGGTCAGAGGAGCTCGCCGCATCCGCCTGGTCGTCGGCAAAGTTGTTGTGTGCCCACGGATACATGTCGATATAGAGACCGGGTGCTCGTCAAGACGTTGGTTTCTTGCACGGGTCCCCATAGACGGCGCCAAAATGATACTGCTAATTATACGTAAGCAATATGAAGTAACTCGAGACCAATTAAAGCAAGTAAATGTCTTTATTGATCACGGTAAAGGCCCTAAGTACAATCTACTTGGTTGCTCTGAGTACCGACTGACTGCGGTCGGGATTCTCTAACAACAACCTATCGATCGTCCAAAAGTCCCCTACACTGTAGCTACTGTGGGTATTTATAGCCGCTATGCCGGGGACAGGATTCCAGCCGTTCGGCATGTCCTCCACGTAGCCACCACGTGTCGTCCTCCCGGGTGCCCTGTCTGTCGTCGTAGAGAATCGCCACGTGTCTTTCGTCAGCTCTCTCGCCAAAGGGCTACCGCTCGCCGGTCGACACCGTCGCTCGGGCAACTCCCGGTCGGCCCCCGACCGGGTTCTTCTCAAGGAGCCCGACCTGTTACCTGCAAAGACAAAGAGAAAAAGACAAAGGCTTCTCGGTCGTGGTGAAGCTATGTCGGTCGGGATATTCCCTACCAATTATTTTATTTAATAAGAGTAAAAAATAATACTAATTATGCCAACTTTGATTGGGATGAGGTTCGAACCTAAGACCTTTTCTTATTGAAATCAATGAGTAAGTTAACGTTGAACTAACAAAAATTAACAGAAAAGATAATATTTAACGGAAAAGTTAACAGATAATCATATTCATTAAGGATAAATTAGGAAATCCTAAGGAAAAATTAAAATCTGATCAATTTGAGCCATTCATCTGATTAAAAAATTTGACCGCCATTTTTTCTCTACCCATTATAGGCCTAACTCTCTTGGGCTCTTATTAGTATAGTAGATATATATATATATATATATATATATATATATATATATATATATATATATATATATATATATAGGAAAACCATTTCGAAGCAGGAAGATATATACTTAGGAGACTCTAGCTTTAAAACCAGGAATAGACTCAACAAGTAGGGACAAGCACATTCAACATATATGATCATGCATATATCCTAAGGTCACAAGATTATTTCACGTCATTCATATCGTTATCCAATCATCATCTCAATCACATAAACACACTTTGGTGGTGCCGCATGACCCTTCATGCGCCCATACACGAAGCGCCAGTGCATATAGCATGCAATACATAAGACACTTTTATCCTACGAATGGTACCCGAAACATCGAACTAGACTCAGGCACGATAAACGGAGACTGTTGGGACACCACGAGGGTCGGGGAAACATCAAACGGGGAAACCACCATCCCACATTTGGATTTTCCAGCGGGTGGCCGGCGGGTGGAGGACCACCCGCCGGCTGCCCGCCAGCGGCGAGGCTACTGGGCAGCGGGTGCCCCGCCCGATGCCGACAACGCCTAATAGGGGCAGCGGGTAGGTGCCTGGTTCCCCTACCCCCACCTACCCCCCACTGACTCTTTTTCAATACTTGGGTCCCGGGATCTTTTGTGGAACCCGAAACCATGTTTAGACACTTATAAACGCAAATGACAACACCACGTAGTCAAATAACGGATCAAAATCAAGAATCACATTGAACACATCCTAACATGACTTCTAAACATAATCAACACCCGGACATGCGAATTCCCACCCAAATATACCAAGAATATCACAATACGAAATTCACGATTCAACCTAGGGCTCTAATCATATTTAAATCACAAAATCATACTTTATCTTTAAAATCAGGAACATCAAGATTTATCAAGAACATCACACAATTATCAAGATCCTCTTATAATCATCAAGATTATCAAGATCAACACATAAGATCATCTCATCAATCATCAAGATCATATCATCATCATCATAAAAGATTTATCAAGACACAAGCATAGAGAATGAGCCAAAGAAGAAGATTATAGCAAAGAAAATAGGTTTTGTTGAGACATGGGTTACCTCTTAGCCTTAATTAGAATCCTTGGCTATAAAGGGTCTTTCTTTAAGATCTCTTCTTCTTGATTTCTCCTATGGGAATTCTTGGGAATTCTTGTGTGGTGAAAGTTTTTGTTGTGTGAGTTCTAGGTGCCTCTATGTCCTTATATATATCTAAGAGTCCTAATTAGGGTCTGAATGATATGGATTTACTAATTCTATTTCTTATAGGACTAAGGGTTTGGATCAGGGATAAGGGTCCATGGCTTATGGTGGACTCTTCTTAGTTAATTACTGGAATTTAATTCTATTTTTAGGGTAAGTAATTAAATAATTGGTTGATTTGGAGGCCGTAACACGGGGTGTTACAATTATTATTATTATTATTATTATTATTATTATTATTATTATTATTATTGATGGGGTACGGACCCAACGGGCTTAAGGCCCAAGAAGGGAAGAGAATCAAGCCCAGATAAGGGTAGGCCCAAGAGATGGACCCATGCCAGCACAAGGAGACGGACCGAGTCGGAGGTCGGGGCGAGCACGAGGTTGACGCGAGTGGAAGGTCAGCCCAGAAGTAGCCGTTAGCATTTAAGAGACCTATTAAAAGGCCCGGTCAAACAAGCCGTTGGGAAGACCCAGTAACGGCAGCCCAACGGCTTCCCCATTAATGAAGGCCCACCATGGCCCTTAATTGTAAACAACTTTTAATTCTTCAAAGGAGATCCCTATAAAAGGACTCCTCCAAAGTTGTAGAGGGGGAGGCGAAAAGAAGCCAAGAATACATACACACTTACAACTATTATTTTACTTCTATTTTTGAAAGGTGAATCCACCAACTAAGGTTGTGTTGGACATCCCTATGCCCAAAAACCCTAAAACCAACACTGGCGCTGTCTGTGAGGACGTAACAAGAAGTTACGTTCGCTCTTCGAATCGAGGAAGGAGTCGGAAAATGAAGCAGAAAGCTGAGTAGGCAAGGACGGAAGCTTAAAATTATGGCCGAAGAACGAAGTCATGCCTCCGATTGTAATAGCGTGCCAGAGGCGGACCTGCGGAATCAACTGAATCAACGAAATTCACAAAGTCAATGAGGTGATTCGGCACCTCGAAATCGGCCTCCATCGATGATACCTCTCACCCCTGCGCAGATTGATGCCATCGCCCGCACCGTAGCTACGCAAACCCGGGAGCTAAGGGAACCATCGATCTCCCGATCGCCGAACCCACAGCTGCAAAACCAACATCCGCCCCAAAGGTCTGACAGAGACAGGCGAGAGGACCGGAGGGCGGAAGATCCACCGGCTCGGTCTGTGCATTCAAGGCTGGGCCCAAATACGACTCGTCGATCGGCAAAAGAACGATTGGGTAAGGGAGTACCCAGCCGAGTGCGGTCAGGTCGGCAGAATCATGAGATCACCCGAGAAAGGACTCACACCCGAAGAACCAGAGCTCAGGGGTGACGGACTGAGAGGCCTGCCAAGGACGAGGATCGGTAAGCCGAGTCCCAGGCCAGAGAGAGTACCGAATCCACTGGGAATCATACCAGGAATTCTGGCGAGATGGCTTATCTAGCCTAGGAATTACGTAATCTAAAGGAGCAAGTGGAGGGCAAGACCAAGTCTCCCGGTTAGACTTTGCTCACCACCTTACCTTTCTCGGCCGAGATCATGGCATACAAGATACCTAGCAACTTCAAATTTCCGGAGCAAACTACCTTTGATGGGTCGGGCGACCCGCGTGAACACCTCTTGAGCTACCAAGCGAAAATGCAGGTCTTAGGGGTCAAGGACCCTGTCATGTGCCGCGCTTTCCTGCCGACCTTAAAAGGACCAGCTCAAAGGTGGCTTGTTGCCCTGCCGCCGGGCTCAATCCGCAGCTTTGAAGGATTGGCAGACCGTTTCATGAGTCACTATGCTGCCAAAATAAAACCTCAGAAGGATCTTACGCACCTCGGCGACATCCACCAAGATGATGGAGAATCGCTCAAAACATATTTGGCCTGGTAGCAAAAGGAGATCCAATCTATCGAAGAGGTCGAAGACTAGACTGCGCTCACGTTCTTTATCGAGTCGCTCCGGTCCGGCCAGCTGTACTGAGACCTACGAGATAACCGACCGGCCACGTATGCGGAGGCCAAGAAGCGGGCTAACCCTGAGCAGGCGATGAAATATAAGCGACAGAACAAGGTCAGGGGGGCCTCTGGAGGAAAGCGAACTAGAGCTGAGGTAAGAGAAAAGCATAGGGGGACCCGCCAAGCCATCAGGAGGCCCGACGCGTCTATGACAGAGCCAATACGCACCCTTACCGACCGCCTCCCCCACGTCCAGTGCACGAGGTAAAAGCGAGTGCGCCGCCCCCGCCGCCTCTTCCGAACGAGCATACGGCGGGTGCGGACCTTGGTAAGCCATCTAATTATTGTCGCTATCATAAAACTTACACCCACAACACAGAAGATTGCTATTATTTAAAGAAGATCATAAAGGGAATCATTCAGCAAGGTACTTCGCCTCCTAATCAATGGCGAAGAAGAGCAACATCTCAAACTAAGGGAGACGACGACCCCTCCGGATCGGTCGACTTAAACCGTGGCAAGCAGCCGGTGTCCGCGGAGGATAAAGCACAATGGAGACAGAAGCCGGTCATCAACATGATAGTCGGTAGCTCGGAAGGAGGCGATTCCTCTAATACTCGAAAGACATGGGCTCGGCAGTTATATGTAGGTACAGTATACGGACGTGAAGGCAGCCCGAAGAAAGTGTGCAGGGAGTCTATAACCTTCACCGACCGAGACCTACCAACCGGTCTGATGCCGCATCACGACCTGGTTATCGGGATGGATGTTAACGGTGTAGTCGTTCGGCGGATTCTGGTGGATACCGGGAGCAGCGTCAATATCTTGTATCTTGAGACCTTCACCAAGTTGGGTCTAACACAGGAACGGCTAGCCCCGATAAAGACACCGCTAGCAGGTTTTACTGGAGACTCGGTAGAAGCGGAAGGTTCCATCGTCCTACCAGTGGAGATAGGCAGCTACCCCAACGTTCAGAAGTTGGATATGAAATTCATCATAGTCGACCTGGCATGCTCCCACAACGCTATCCTTGGACGACCGGGTCTGGAGGACTTGGGAGCGCTGATCTCCGTCGAGCATCTGTGCTTAAAGTTCCGCACGTTGAGCATCGGGGCGGCCCATGAATGTTACTTACAGGCGTGCCGACGAATGGGAAGAAGGGAGATGCGGGTGCACGAAATCACTGAGCGGACTACCAAAAAGGCAATACCACCTCGGCCCAAGCCGGCGGTGGAGTTGGAAGAGATTGAGATTGACCCGGCGCGACCCGAGAGACGGGTAAGAATTGGAGTTGGCCTCAATAAGGAAGTACAGACGGAGGTTGTGAGTGTGCTCCGCGAGAACCATCTAATTTTTGCCTGGGGGCCAGAAGAGATGCCGAGCATGGACCGCTCTATCGTTTCTCATCGACTCGCAGTAGATCCTAACCATCGCCCCGTAATTCAGAAGAAATTCTATTTAGCGAACGACCGGCGGGAATTCGTGAAAAAAGAGGTTGACACGCTGCTCGCGGCCGGCCACATTCGAGAAGTAAAATACCCTGATTGGTTGGCCAATGTGGTGTTGGTACCAAAGCCGCCCGCCTGGAGAATATTCGTCGACTATACTGACCTCAATAAGGCTTGCCCAATTGACCCTTTACCTTTGTCGAGGATCGACCAGCTGGTAGATGAGACAACGGGGTCGGCCCTGCTGAGTTTCATGGACGCTTTTCGGGGGTATCACCAAATCTATATGCACAAAGCTGACGAGGAGAAGACAGCATTCCTCACTCCGGACTAGGTGTACTGCTACCAAGTAATGCCCTTCAGCCTAAAGAATGCCAGAGCCACGTACACCAGGATGGTTGCTCGACTATTCCAAGACCTGTTGGGGAAATCTATGGCGGCTT